CCCTTTATTTATACCTGTTTTCCATTTATACCCCTCAGTCATATTCCCCCCCCCCTAATTCTACGCCTTTCTAGAGAGTGCAGATTAAGGGCTCTAAATCTATCCTCATAGGAATGATTTCTAATACATGGGATCAACTTGTCATCCTCCTCTGTACGTTTCCCAGGGCATTTATATCCATTCTGTAATATGGTGACCAAAACTGTGCAGCGTAATCTAAATGAGGCCTAACCAAAGATATATAGAGTTGAAGAACAACCTGAGGACTACTATTATTTATGCTTCTTGATATGAAGCCAAGGATTCTGTTAGCTTTATTGCGAACACTTATATATCGTTGTCTTGGTTTTAGATTACTCCTAACCAGAACTCCTAAATCCTTTTGGATTTAGTAACATTAAGATTTACATTATTTAGTTTATATGTGGCATGGTTGTTTTCCTGTCCAACATTTAGAACTTTGCATTTATCTATACTAAACTGCATTTGCCACTTCTCCAACTACTGCATCAGTCTATTCAACTCTTCCTGGAGTGCTCCAATGTCCTCATCAGAATGAATTGGACGGCCTATTTTGGTGTCATCAGCAAACTTGCTTATGCTGCTATTTATTCCCTCATCTATGTCGTTTATGTACATTGTGAACAACAAGGGGCCCAACACTGACCCCTGTGGAATACCGCTTGTGACGTGCCCCCACTCTGATTTCTCTCTATTTATGCAAACTCTCTGCTGCCTATTTGTCAACCATGCCTCTACCCAGGAAAAAAATTCTCCTCCTATTCCGTGTGCCTTAAGTTTCCTTAATAGCCTCTGATGTGGGGCTCTTTCAAAAACCTTTCTGAAGTCCATATACACAATATAATATTCATTACCATGATCTACCTCCTCAAACACCATTAGTGAAAAAAGTTAATAAATTCGTAAGGTAAGAACGCCTTATGTGCTGAGATTCGTTGATCAATTTATGCTTTTCAAGATGGCTACGAATTGCTTCGGCAATCATTGATTCCATAAATTTTCACACTATGGCTTATTGATCTATAGTTTGAAACAAAGGACCTGTCACCTGCTTTGAAAATATGCATCACATTTGCCGTTTTCCACAGGTTTTCCAAAGGTTTGCTAAGCTCCTCTTTGCATTCCTTTAGAATCCTTGAATATAGCTCATCAGGGCCTTGGGATATGTTAGGTTTTAATTTATCTATTTATTTAAGGACCATGTCACTTATGACCCTAATCGTGCATAGTTTATCATCATCCTGTTCTACATAATTTATTATTTTTGGAATATCGCTAGTGTCTTCCTGTGTAAAAATTCAGAGGAAGTAAGTGTTAAAAATTCTACACATTTCCTTATCACTGTCGGTGAGCTGACCCGAGTAACTTTTGAGTGGGCCTGTCTTGTCCCTAATCTTACTTCTGTATACCTGAAAGAATCTTTTTGGGTTGGTCTTCGATTCCCTTGTAACTTTAACATCATAATCTATCTTTGCTTTACTTATTCTCTTTTTTATTTCTTTTTGAATATATTGCTTTCTTAACTGCCCCTCTCCTCTTTTGATTCGTTTATATATATACTTCTCTTTTGACAAATGAGATGTTTTAACCTATTGTTTATCCATTTAGTATCATTTTCCATTAGGATCATCTTCCACTTTTCTCTGCACTGGACTGAAGAAGTCACTGCTTTGCGGAACATTTCTCGAATAAAGATTCCCAAATGTTGCACAATTGTTTATCAATTCTAGATTACTGCTAACAAGAATTCCTAAATCTTTTTCGCAATCAGTGATATCAACATCTACATTATTTAGTTAATAAATGTTATGGTTATTTTACTTTTTAAAGGTGAGAACTTTGCATTTGTCTGTGAAGAAATGGTATGGTGATACCGACAAGATGTTTATGCAAACTCTGTTGTCTATCTGTCAACTACGCCTCTACCTAGAAAAAAAAATTCTCCTATTCCGTATCCTTCTACTTTTCACAATAATCTCCTTTGCGGAACTCTGTCGAAAGCATTACTGAAATCCACATACACAATATCATATTCATTATCATGGTGATCTACCTCTTCAAATACCTTAGTGAAAAATGTGGTAAATTCTTGCGGCAGGAACGCCCCTTTTTAAAACCGTGCTGAGATTCATTAATCAATTGATATCTCTTAAGGTGTCTTCGAATAGCCTCGGCAATTACTGATTCCATAAATTTTCTCAGTGGAGGTCTATAATTCCAAGCTAAGGACCTGTATCCTGATTTGTAGATAGGTATCACATTTGCCATTTTCCACTTAGGCACTATGCCAGTTTGTAGTGATATGTTGTAAAGACTAGCCAAAGATTTGCTAAGTTTCTCCTTACATTACTTTAAAACCCTTGAGAAGACTTCGTCAACCCCGGGTGTTTATTAGGTTCTAATTTATCTTTCTGAGAATCATGTCACTAGAGACTTTGATCGTACATAACTTATTTTCGTCCTGTTCTACATAATTTATTATTACTGGAATTTCACTAGTATCATCCTGCATAAAAAATGAGAGGATATTTGAGTGGGCCTATCTTGCCCCTAATCTTACTCCTATGTGCACGAAAGAAACTCTTCGGTTAATCTTCAATCCCTTGCGACTTTAACCTTTCTTATTCCCTTTTGCATTTATAGTTGAATATATTGATTTCTTAATTGCCCCTCCTCCCTTTTGATTCGCCTGTAAATGTCTCTCTTTTAACCTATGAGATGCTTTAATCTATTGTTTATCCATATAGGATTATTTTGTTTGATATAATTTCTCTGTCTGGAACATAAGTATTCTGGGCAGCTAGAGCTATACTCTGAAAAATGACATATCGGCAACCATAACTACCTGCCTGACCCAGGGTCAGGTCATTCCAGTTCATCCCACACAGGTGATTTCTCAGTCCTATGAAATCGGCGAAGCAGAAGTCAGGGGCATTGACTTCTTTGTAGTTATTAAGGTAATTCTATGATATATCGAAACTGAGTGATTTGTGATCACTTTACCAAGCTTATCATTAACCTCAAGATATTAATTAGTAGTTACTTGTTAGCAAGTACCAAGCCAAGCATGTTATTTCCCCTAGTTGGTTCTGTCACAAACTATTTTAAAAAGCAATCCTGAATAGTATCAAGAAAGTCGCTAGAATCAATATTTCCTGTCAAATTGCTTCAGTCAATTTATCTGACGTTGAAATCACCCATTAACACGACATTTTCGTATCTAAATGCTTTATGCATCAACATGCTTTATGCATCAAGATTTGGCGGTTAGTAAATCACACACAAGACTAGTTTTTCACGACCCCTCAGGAAACTGTGGCCAAACAGATTCAGTCTCCGATGCTTCTAATTTTATACTATGTCTAACACAACAATTTAAATGGTCTCTGGCATACATCGCCACTCCACCACCTTTCCTGTTGACATTATCAGTGTGGAATAATTTATAGCTTTGTATGTGATATTCAGAAGGCATTTCTCTATCTTTCAGGTTAAACCAGGTCTCTGTAATAGCAATAATATCTATGCTTCCTGTACATGCAATTAATATTGGCTGATCTGTCCTTTTCTAATGCTCCTATTAGTATAGTAAACCTTAATTAAGAGAGCTAGTCACTTGCTGCTCTCTACTGTCTCGGTTGACCAGTTCTATTGCGTTTATTAGTAACTTTATGATGAATAATGTCTTTTAAACATATCCCTGAGGTATCCTAGTAATATCCGCTGTTTTCATCCCTCATGCTGCAACCTCTTTCCACACACACACGTATCTCTATCATCTATCAGTTTAAAGTCCCAGACAAGTCAGCAATGACTCCCTCGATCGGGTTGGCTAATGCTACCACTCCCGTCCCCGACAGATGTACCCCATCGCTTGCATACATATCAAGTTTGCCATAGAAATTGTCCCAGTTGTCCGTGAATTGGATTGCAAGTTCCTTGCACTGCCTATCTAGCAAGGAATTTACACCAATTGTCGTAGACATCTATTTATTGCCCTCTCTCCTTCTAGGCAAGATGCTAAATATGACCGAGATCTCTCCTTTAGACCTATTTAAATCTACAGTTGTATATAAGAGCTCCTGTCTCCTGCCCTTCCCGATATCATTTCCATCAGCACTGAGGCTGATAATGGGCTTGTTCCCATTACCTAACATATTTTCCCACATGTTGACTATGCCACTCACACTAGCTCCTTGGAAACACACCCTCTGTTTCGCCTTCCTATCTGTTTCAGAAACCACTGTCCATATATCTTACCTATGAGTCACCAACCACAAGGATATTCTTACCTTTATTAACAGGGGAGTCAGTGGTACCTTTAACCTCATTGCCACTGAAGTACATTCGCCCTGGAGAACAGAGAAGCTATTTCCTACTTTTAACCTTTCTTATTTTGATGCTTCTTCCTTTCCTGGGGACCACTTCCCACTTATAACGGTTGCCAGTCTGATCCTCACTGCTGGTAATCTGTTTCCCTTCACTAGCCCCAACCTCCTCACATTTATTGCTATACTTATCCGGGAAAATTTTCAGCCTTTTATTTTCCTGCTCGGGAAGTTGAACCTCCTCCTTCAACACTTTGACCTCAGATTCTGAAATGCAGCAGAAGCAAACCATGGTGCTCTATAACACCACACACTAATGCCCCTAAAACACTTCAGGACAGGTATGACCACTCGTGACTACTGGCTCTCAGTCAGTAGTCACTAGAACTGTTATATTAGGCAGCACCTGTTCTCAGTGTCGTAGTCACTAGACCTGTTTTACATAAGGCAGCATCTGCCACTCTCTGTCGTAGTCATTAGAACCTACTACTCAAAGAATAAGATGGTGTTCACATCCGCTAGATATAGTTGAAAATTAACACAACCTTCCACTTACAGAATGACCTTGTCACTCACTAAAGTGTATTTAATATTAAGCACAAGTAGTTTAAGGAATCGTTTTGTTGCAATCACTCAGAGAAATTAACCCACGTTTAAAGATAGATGGAGAGAGAGCTGCTGCTGCTGCTGCTGCTGCTGCACTTGGATACAATGGAATACAGAGAACGTCGTGGCTTGTTAGCCTACTCAGCTACATATTATGTACACGCAGGTTCAGGCAATGTTGTTTATCGTCGCTCACCGTTTGTCATCATTACTGCTCAGATTTATTTAGAAGAGGTTAAAATTATGATGATAATGGTGATGAACATGTTAATAATGAGGATATGATGATGATTATCTTGTTTATGATATCTGAGGGTGATGATATCGATTGTGAAAATATTGATAACGACAGTAATGAACATGATGAAAATTAGTCTTGTGGAGGTAGAGATGATTTTCTTAGCATTTAATACTGATAAAACTGTCATTATATCGGTGATTATAATGATAACTATGGAGATGGAAAACAATGACGGAATTAACGATTATAGAAATAAAATTAACCCTAGCGATGTTGATTATAACAATAATGATGATAACTATTTTGATGATAATGATTATGAAGGCGATAATGATAGTAACTATGATAACAGTGACGACATTGATAATTATGTTTATAATAATGAGAATCATTATTGTTATAATGATGGTGGACATTATAATTACAACAGCAATAATTATAACCATAGTGGTAATAATTAACAATGGTTGTGGTAACGATAGTGATAGGGAGAAAACAACAACAAAATAATAATAATTAATTATTATTATTATTATTATTATAAAAACAATAATGAAACTACTCCTACTACTTATTCTTCTACTTCTCCTCCCTCCACTACTACTACTACTTCAACTACTACTACTGCTACTACTACTGCTACTATTTTTTTACCACTACTACTACTTCCCTCTTCTGTTTTACCACCCTCTTCCCCTGCTGTCTCTTATATATATTCTGACCTTCGTTTCTCACTTCAGTATATAACATGTTGATGGTCCAAGTTGGACCAAAACTTTGTCATAAGTTTCGGTCTCCTAAGTGCGTGTTACCTTTGTAATAATAATAATAATAATAATAATAATAATAATAATAATAATAATAATAATAATAATAATAACAATAATAATAATAATAAACTACGAGATATACAGACCAAGAAGCATGTATCTCAGTGTATATACAATGAGACTTAATCTCTGTTTTAAGAATTAAAACTTTAGGATCATAACAAACAAGGATTTTATTATTTTATTATTTTATTATTTTATTATTGCCTCCAGATATTATAGGCACAAAAATGTCATAAAATTACTTTATGGTGATTTATCCAAGGATAAGCCAATAAAGTCAAACTTTGTGACCTATTTCTAATCAGTAGAAATATTCTCCAGTTTTTTCCTTTCACAGAAAAACATTTGAGTAACAAATTTGGCATCAAACTTAAATAATATAAACCTAAGGTAAAACATCTTTTGGGTAAAACACATCAGAAATAAGAGTTTAAAACTGACCAAAACACAAATGCTTATAATTATAACCTAATTTTTTAGAGGGGTAGATCGGTAAGCCAGGGGAAGGCCTCTGTCAGATAATCAAAAGTTTCAGTAGCGGGTCATCATAAGACCTGCGTCAGGAAACAATTGTCCTGTTTCCTGACGAATCACATCTAACTTATCCAAAGCTGACCAGAAGATGCATTTTCCAGTTATTGCACAAAGACCAATAATATTTGCGCCTACACAGCCTTTACCCTAACAAAGGTTGCATCTATTTTCTACGATGTATCAGGCTAGACCAGTAGGGGTCATATAGTGCCTGAAGAATGGGTGGCATTCCGATTTAGTCCATGGATGCATACTCCAGTTAAATAATACCCGGAGTATACCTGGAGAGAGTTCCGGGGGTCAAAGCCCCCGCTGCCCGGTCTGTGACCAGGCCTCATCAATAATAATAATGATAATAATAATAAAATTAATAATAATAATAATAATAATAATAATAATAATAATAATAATAATACAAAATATTTCTATACTATTTGGAGATTAAAAGTGACAAAGTGGCACTTATCCGCTTCATCACCAATATAAAGCAATTTCTAAATAAGATACAATAATGATGGAAACTTAAAGGTAATCGGAAGAGGGTTTTTAAAGCGACTTTGTTTCATGTCAACTAATTCCAGAATGATCAGTATAAAGTTGAGCACTTGTCACCTGCACTTGTCACCTGCACTTGTCACCTGCACTTGTCACCTGCACTTGTCAACTGCACTTGTCACCTGCACTTGTCAACTGCACTTGTCACCTGCACTTGTCACCTGCACTTGTCACCTGCACTTGTCACCTGCACTTGTCACCTGCACTTGTCACCTGCACTTGTCACCTGCACTTGTCACCTGCACTTGTCACCTGCACTTGTCACCTGCACTTGTCACCTGCACTTGTCACCTGCACTTGTCAACTGCACTTGTCACCTGCACGTGTCACCTACACTTGTCACCTGCACTTGTCACCTTCACTTGTCACCTGCACTTGTCACCTGCACTTGTCACCTGCACTTGTCACCTGCACTTGTCACCTGCACTTGTCAACTGCACTTGTCAACTGCACTTGTCACCTGCACTTGTCACCTGCACTTGTCACCTGCACTTGTCAACTGCACTTGTCAACTGCACTTGTCACCTGCACTTGTCACCTGCACTTGTCACCTGCACTTGTCAACTGCACTTGTCAACTGCACTTGTCACCTGCACTTGTCACCTGCACTTGTCAACTGCACTTGTCAACTGCACTTGTCACCTGCACTTGTCAACTGCACTTGTCAACTGCACTTGTCACCTGCACTTGTCACCTGCACTTGTCACCTGCACTTGTCACCTGCACTTGTCACCTGCACTTGTCACCTGCACTTGTCACCTGCACTTGTCACCTGTACTTGTCACCTGCACTTGTCAACTGCACTTGTCACCTGCACTTGTCAACTGCACTTGTCAACTGCACTTGTCACCTGCACTTGTCACCTGCACTTGTCAACTGCACTTGTCAACTGCACTTGTCACCTGCACTTGTCACCTGCACTTGTCACCTGCACTTGTCACCTGCACTTGTCAACTGAACTTGTCACCTGCACTTGTCACTTGCACTTGTCAACTGCACTTGTCAACTGCACTTGTCAACTGCACTTGTCAACTGCACTTGTCACCTGCACTTGTCACCTGCACTTGTCAACTGCATTTGTTACTTGCACATGTTACCTGCACTTGTCAACTGCACTTGTCAACTGCACTTGTCACCTGCACTTGTCACCTGCACTTGTCACCTGCACTTGTCAACTGAACTTGTCACCTGCACTTGTCACCTGCACTTGTCAACTGCACTTGTCACCTGCACTTGTCAACTGCACTTGTCAACTGCACTTGTCAACTGCACTTGTCACCTGCACTTGTCACCTGCACTTGTCACCTGCACTTGTCAACTGCACTTGTCAACTGCACTTGTCAACTGCACTTGTCAACTGCACTTGTCACCTGCACTTGTCGACTGCACTTGTCAACTGCACTTGTCACCTGCACTTGTCAACTGCATTTGTCAACTGCACTTGTCACCTGCACTTGTCACCTGCACTTGTTACCTGCACTTGTCAACTGCACTTGTCACCTGCACTTGTCAACTGCACTTTTCAACTGCACTTGTCACCTGCACTTGTCAACTGCACTTGTCACCTGCACTTGTCACCTGCACTTGTCAACTGCACTTGTCAACTGCACTTGTCAACTGCACTTGTCACCTGCACTTGTCACCTGCACTTGTCACCTTCACTTGTCAACTGCACTTGTCAACTGCACTTGTCACCTGCACTTGTCACCTGCACTTGTCACCTGCACTTGTCAACTGCTCTTGTCACCTGCACTTGTCACCTGCACTTGTCACCTGCTCTTGTCACCTGCACTTGTCAACTGCACTTGTCAACTGCACTTGTCACCTGCACTTGTCACCTGCACTTGTCACCTGCACTTGTCACCTGCACTTGTCACCTGCACTTGTCACCTGCACTTGTCACATGCGCTTGTCAACTGCACTTGTCACCTGCACTTGTCACCTGCACTTGTCACCTGCACTTGTCACCTGAACTTGTCACCTGCATTTGTTACTCGCACTTGTCACCTGCACTTGTCACCTGCACTTGTCACCTGCATTTCTTACCTGCACTTGTCACCTGCACTTGTCACCTGCACTTGTCAACTGCACTTGTCACCTGCACTTGTCAACTGCACTTGTCACCTGCACTTGTCAACTGCACTTGTCACCTGCACTTGTCACCTGCACTTGTCACCTGCACTTGTCAACTGCACTTGTCAACTACACTTGTCACCTGCACTTGTCAACTGCACTTGTTACCTGCACTTGTCACCTGCACTTCTCACCTGCACTTGTCAACTGCACTTGTCACCTGCACTTGTCACCTGCACTTGTCAACTGCACTTGTCAAATGCACTTGTCACCTGCACTTGTCAACTGCACTTGTCATCTGCACTTGTCACCTGCACTTGTCACCTGCACTTGTCACCTGCACTTGTCACCTGCACATGTCACCTGCACTTGTCACCTGCACTTGTCAACTGCACCTGTCACCTGCACTTGTCACCTGCATTTGTTACTTGCACATGTTATCTGCACTTGTCACCTGCACTTGTCACCTGCACTTGTCACCTGCACTTGTCACCTTCATTTCTTACCTGCACTTGTCACCTGCATTTGTTACTTGCACATGTTATCTGCACTTGTCACCTGCACTTGTCAACTGCACCTGTCACCTGCACTTGTCACCTGCATTTGTTACTTGCACATGTTATCTGCACTTGTCACCTGCACTTGTCACCTGCACTTGTCACCTGCACTTGTCACCTGCATTTCTTACCTGCACTTGTCACCTGCATTTGTTACTTGCACATGTTACCTGCACTTGTCACCTGCACTTGTCACCTACATTTCTTACCTGCACTTGTCACCTGCACTTGTCACCTGCATTTGTTACTTGCACATGTTACCTGCACTTGTCACCTGCACTTGTCAACTGCATTTGTTACTTGCACATGTTACCTGCACTTGTCACCTGCACTTGT